TTCATCGATTTATCATGTGCCATATTCATTGATTTATCATGTACCGTATTCATCGATTGATCATGTACGCGGTTGTGTTGGTGTACTAGGCTGTATCACACACATGTTGGACTGTAGAGATACCTCGGCTATATACTATGATATGTTTAGTCTGTGTACGGTTGTATATACGTGAGTCCAGCTAACTGTGTGGTACGCGGCGCATCACAATGCATCGAAGTGCCTTGCCTAGCCGTTCGTTTCTGTGTACAAGTCTTCGGCGTTTAAACTATGAATGGGTCTTTTTCGGGATTTTTGTATATACTTTGTTTTTCTCAATCTACGTCGTGTGTTGTAAATAACAGTGTGACAGATTCTTAAGTTTACGACTGTCCGGGCTATAATACTTTTCATACAAACACCTGAGTGGTCCGTCTGGTTTGCATACATGACACCTTCTCCATGCACACTCGAAGTGATCTATGCGGCGAACAGTACCCCTGCTCCTGCCTTAGTATACGTATTGACAGTCATAAAAGGATACGTATTTACAGCCATAAAAGGATACGTAATTACAGTCATAAAAGTATACGTATTTACAGTCATAAAAGGATACGTATTTACAGTCATAAAAGTATACGTATTTCCAGTCATAAAAGTATACGTATTTACAGTCATAAAAGTATACGTATTTACAGTCATAAAAGTATACGTATTTACAGTCATAAAAGGATACGTATTTACAGTCATAAAAGTATACGTATTTACAGTCATAAAGGTATACGTATTTACAGTCATAAAAGTATGCGTATTTACAGTCATAAAAGGATACGTATTTACAGTCATAAAAGTATACGTATTTACAGTCATAAAAGTATACGTATTTACAGTCATAACAGGATACGTATTTACAGTCATAAAAGTATACGTATTTACAGTCATAAAAGGATACGTATTTACAGTCATAAAAGTATACGTATTTACAGTCATAAACAGTTTGGGCTATCTCGTGGGCCATTGATTCAATTTTTCTGCGTCGCTCCGAGGCAATTCATAGTTAGTAGTGTTATCCTCAATTTGTGGTGTTCTTCTATTGTTAATTATAATTTGTAGTGTTCTATTTTTCACTATAATGCCGTGTTTGGGAACTGTGACCAATACAGAACAAGCCGCTTTAATACTCATCACCTGACGAGTCTTTGTATACACAACAAACAGACCCCAAACGTACGCAATTCTGGTTTTTTGATACGTTTGAGTAGTATGTTTGTATCTCTGAAAGTCTATTCCACAGCCTGGCACCAACTTGTATACCATCAACACTACAAAACGCGGCACCCCCATCCCCACAAAACGTTCTGTAGCAAGGCGAAACCAGATATTACACATACTCGCAGATGAAACACTCGGGATAGTAGTACTACGAACCGCATCCCTAACGAAACCACCAACACTGTACCTGTACCCACAGATAAAACACTGGGCCTTGGCGGTGTACGTGGTGAATTTGTCGCGCTGCTGATGTCGGAGACCAGTGTGCACGAGCTCTATAAAACCGGGAGGACCACTTTGCGCGTGGATATCAAAGCGGGATCAGGCCTCCGGCCGTCCACAACATCGTACTCCAGAACTTCCGAAGCCATTGTGTACGGCCGGCATACTGGGTTTACCGTAAGTGCCATACCTCCTTATTTGACGCGTACTCACCTTGACCTATGTTGTACATTAATATTCCTTGGATTGCTCCGATTGGCTCCTCTTGTCACTGAGTCAGACCATAGCCTTCTAAATGAAACAAGACGTTAACAAAAGGTTTACACGTACGCGCACGTGCAACTCCTATGGAAGATATCAGTACACCGAGTCGGCGTTTGCGTGTCACTATGAACGTGTACATCCAGAACCGCACACCATGCAGACATATCTACAGAGATACAGCGTAGATATACATCTACGCCAATCTTCTGATCCGTGCGTGTCTGCGTGTATACCTATCACTGAAACAATCCTTCCTCTCCTTCACCCGCAGTTTGGTGTTTCGTCCAGCCCACTCAACATAGCCCTGAAACCCGAGAGCGTGCACCGATCTCTGTACGGTGAACACGTGACCACACGCACACTACTGAAGCGGGCCTGGCCCATGAGTACCCACCTGCCCCTGATCCAACTAGCCGATGCCTTTGACCAGAACTCTCAAGCCCCGGGCTGGAGCTGAGGGACGGATGTGTCACAAACACCATAGCCGATAGCTATGTATTCCACAAGCACGCGTGTATATGCATACATGACGAACGGTCTACTTGCGAAGCATTGGGTGTCTGGTACAGTTGGGCCCTGATATCTACCTCTCCCTCAGGCCAAGTATAGACAACACGTATGTGTAGTCTCTGCTTCTGCTTAAACCGATCTTCACATGTAATACATCAACAATAATGTGGTGTTATGTAGTGTCTTAGCCTGGTTTATGTGGGAGGACCGCGTACGGCCGATGGTGTGGTGAATAGTCGTTTGCTTCAGATCTGAGTGTACGTCCAATCAGAATTGGTCTGTCTTTAGACTTGCTACCGCCAGTCAGTTTATTGGCAAGCGTGTGCGGGCGCGCGCGCGTGATACGAGCGGAGAGTTCAATAGGCCGCATACGCCGTCTACTGCTCTAAGACCCGCCACGGGTGAATGGATAAGTGTTACCTGAGCCTATGGGGAGGTACTGTTCTTGCGTTAGATATTTCGTGCTAGATTTACGTAACACTATTGAACCCAGCAGTGTTGAATACGAGCATGTCAGTGCATTGGAGCGCTCTCGTTGGGCCGTCTACCTACCACTGCACTTGGGTTGGGCCATTTACCTACCACTGCACTTGGGTTGGGTCATCTACCTACCACTGCACTAGGTTGTCATGAGCATTTGAACAAAACTTCTGTGCTGTGTACGTGGGAGTATATCGACCGCGAAATTACTGGAAGTGAAATCCACGCCATGCCTTCTTCAGCATAATAAGGGAAGCCAAAAGACCCCCCCCCAAAAGTTTGAACATTTGGAAAAAAAAGTGGAACATTAATAGAGAGTTTTGACCCAAGTGTGCATTTAGGGAGACTGTTCTCTAAACGGAATACGGACAGGTGTATTTGCACGATTCAAAGCAGAACACGTTCTATTGCAATGACTGCAGTGTACTAGACAAAGAGGTGTGGTTGGGTGATGGTTCACCAATACTCGTGATTACAGAAAAGTGACCACTGGTTTGATCAAGCCAACAATATGGGAACTGCTAGTAGTATAGATATCTGAAGATGGGATCTCCCTAAGCGAGCAAGGATAATAGATACGTGAGCTATTAATAGCCGTTTCTTTGTAGGATCAAGAGAACATTTGGTCCAGGTACTTAAAGAAGCTGATTTGATCCAAGACAACAGCTAAATACTGCACCTTCCAACTTGCCTACACACACTTTCTCATTGTTTTATCCTGGTTCTATAAACTTTCTCATTGTTTTATCCTGGTTCTATAAACTTTCTCATTGTTTTATCCTGGTTCTATAAACTTTCTCATTGTTTTATCCTGGTGCTATAAACTTTCTCATTGTTTTAGCCTGGTTCTATAAACTTTCTCATTGTTTTAGCCTGGTTCTATAAACTTTCTCATTGTTTTATCCTGGTTCTATAAAATGTCTCATTACTCACACGTTCTGTTTGTTTTAGTGTGATTCTTATGTTTTCAAATGATTGTTAGACTTGTGTAGTGACTCTTACCCATCTAATTCCGGGATTTAAATGGCATGTAAACAAAGTGGATGCCTCACAATTGGTTTATAATTAGAAACGGTCGCTAATTGGATCTATATATTGACTTGTACCTGTATACATCTACATAGTACCCACGGTGTATGTCTAAGTAGTTCTCACCCGTCCCTAGCCTGTCCCTATGTACTACGCCAAATAGCGTTTGAATGCTGGAGTTGCCTATGCGGCCCAGGGGCTGGCTATAGCACCGCACTGGTTTGGCGCAGACCAGACAATTGCTTCACAGTAGCCTATCGATCCGAAAAGAACACTCGAGCTCGCAAGAGAAAACACCGTTGACGTGCCGTGAGGATTGTCGCTGTAGTGTTAGTGCCGAATGCAGTTTATGGAGTGTCGATGATCTTGACCGGCGCTCTGACGAGTTTAACATGTGTGCATCCAGGATGCACGTTGGTCTCCTGCATGTCAATTTGCCCTGCCGGGCATTGGGAGTGTGTCCAAGACTAAATCGAGAACTCACTCGATGCCACAGATATTACTTCGCTCAGTAGTTCCTCCCGTTATACACACACACGTGTTAGCCCGCCCTGTGGCGGCCGTGTGTTCAGAAAATGCTGCAAATCTTGTTCAGGAATATATTCACTTGTGTTATTTGAACCCGGGTACCTGTTTGGGGAAGCATGGAGACGAGTGTGTACAGCGATTAGTGGTGTGGGTTGGGACGTGCCGCCTACAACGTCAGTTGCTTATCGCGCAAGGTATCAGTTAGAAACGGAAATGTCCACTACACGTATATACGGCAATGTGCGTGAGGTTTCAATTAGAAACGGAAACGCTTACTACACGTATGTACGACAATGAATCAAGCACAAGCTGAGTTAGTGTCCAATCGAGAGACATGTTATGACGTGCAAAAAACTGCGTGTGGCAGTGTGCGGCAACGCATGCGGTCGTTGATGGGTGTGGCTTTGGTGCTAATTGAACAGTCAGTTTTCTGGGTGCTGTTGCGATGGAACTCTTAGTTATTGTATGATATGTCCTGCAATATATATACCTGTGCTATGTATGTACCTGTACTTTTTTCTTTGTTTTCGTATGTAATGTCACTACGATATATGTACATGTGTTATGATGTATACGCTTGTCCTACTAGAGAAGTTGCGGTACAAAATGTACACCAAAGTATGTAATGTCCTGCTATATATATATATATATATGCCTGTGCTATGTATGCACTTGTTCTTATTCTGAACTTGGGCTACAAAATGTACACCAAAGTAAGCCATGAAGTGGCCGTCCAGTGGATTGTCTGGAACCCCGACTGACTGGGGAAGGGCTACTGACAATGGCAGCACACACACCCACAGTATGTGGTAGATTCACTCAACGCGCGTACGAGATCATGGGCTAGGCAAGGGAGCCCTATGAACAAGTACACATCCATCGTAACTCCGTTCTACTGAAAGAAAAACTTCAATCGAGGACGACGGCTCGATACGAAACATGCGTATTCTTTCAATGTCCCCCTCTGGTACTCTATCAGCGATATACAATCCGGCATGTGCGTGCATTTTGGCGCTGTATGGTCTAGCACACAGGTAAGTCTGAATAGCACACAGGTACGTCCAAATAGCATGCACTGGGTTGTGAACGTGAGGGAAGTTCCTAGGGTTTATCGAACACAAGAAGAGACACGAGCTGACGAACGACAGACAGACAGACAGGCAACACACCCCTGCAGAAGTTATCCGAGTAGTGCCGGTTGTCGAACGCGGAGCTGGGACGCCCCTGAGTCACGGTCCACCAGTCTGGCCAATAGAAAAGCGCGATATTTAAAATGATGTGTGTGGTACTTTGCTCTCTTCCTTGCCTACTATTCAGGACTATAGTTGTAGCATATTTCATAACTAAATGATTGTCAATCCGTAATATAAATCCTGGATAAACTGATGCTCGAGCGTGTAGTTCTAAGGCAACAATACTACATGGATATGATATGTCTCGGTACGTTATGTCTCCACCCACTTCACGTCTACGTTAGGATTGAGATTGCTATGCTTCGGCACTTGTTGATCCTTACTGTGTGCATACCCACCGCTTATGTCGCATGCATCTATTTGTACTGTTCCTACTGGTTGTGCACACACTGCCCCATTGCATCTCTATCGTGAACAACTATTCCGGGTTTTTTCCTGTGATCAATCTCCAGGAGCTCTGAGACTCAGTCCTTCAACCACAACAGAACAATCGTTCGTGCTTCGGTACGACTAAAACCCTATATGCACATATACATATTATGCATATATATCTATATATATATGTATATGTATGTATGTATGTGTGTCTGTATGTATGAGTGTATATATATATATACATACATAGATACATATACATACATACATACATACATACACATATGTATATATATATATATAAACATAAACATATATAAATAATAAAGTCATATCCTCGTGTAAGATTTGAACTATTGATCATTATGGCTCTAAAAACTCACAACAGCACATTCTTGTGCATATACCTATCACAGGGACGCCGAGTTCCTTCGTCACGCGCATGGCTACATCATCCAAACGACCCAGTTGTGAGTTGAATAAACACTTGTGCTGCTCGTGTAGTGTTCTGTGAGGGAATTGGGAGATTTAGGATTTAGAATTTGAGATTTGGGATATAGAATTGAGGATTTAGTACTCAAGATTCCATGGTTGAGAGATTCTGGGATTTTAAAGTTGAACCTTTATATTTTACGCCTGTGTTGAAGACCGACTCAAACATTTCTTATAAACCCTAGGTACATACAAACAACCATTTCTTGTAAATCCTAGGTACACACAAACCTCCATTTGTTGCGGGTTTGTAATCACTTGACACATACAATAGTGAACATGACCGGATGCAAAGGCTCTCAAATCTTCACTTGAAGGTACATAGCGTGATGTAATGAGTAGAGGTTACAATGTCTTTAGATCTTTTGGGTTGCAACGTTCCTGCTTTCTGTATCCGTGACATTTCATTCGAGACTCCTGGACATACACGCCTGATATAGCAACGCCAACTATCTTTTCTTTTATGCGCAATGCATATGCACATGCGATGATATGTATCGGTGTGTTAATACTTCTCAGCACTCCTGCACACACGCGTTGCTGCACAAACGGTAGCAAAGGTTTGCTCGTTTATATATGTGTACTATTGTGCCTATGTCATTAGCGTGGTCGAGTACAAGGTCTCTCGTAGCATCTTTCCCTATCACGTACCGTAGTGCACATGGGATATAAATAGACCATTGATATATTTCCCACATACTTGAACAAAGACTATAAACAGAATGATACTATTTTTTTTCACATACTCGAAGTGATACGGTACACATGTGTTATAAATAGAACTTATTTGTTTCAGTATACTTGAAAAAATACTATAAATATAAATATGCTATTTTTTTCACATTCGTGAAGTGATGCTGCACACATGCGCATAAATAGAACTTATTTGTTCCCGCATACTTGAACAAATACTTTAACCAGAACCAGCCACTTTTCTCACTTACGTGAAGTGATGCTGCGTTGTAGTACTTCGTCTCCAGAATACGGGCACGCCTTTACCAGCACCTGAAGTAATCCACATGTGCATCTGGTGTAGTAAGGGTGCGTCATTTTTCAGCAACACACGATGGAGGACGAAACAGGACTTTCCTATACTAATATGTTATTATCTGAGATAAAACTAATATGTTATTATTTGCGATAGAACTAATATGTTATTATCTGAGATAAAACTAATATGTTATTATCTGAGATAGAACTAATATGTTAGTATCTGAGATAGAACTAATATGTTATTATCTGAGATAGAACTAAAATGTTATCATCTGACATAGAACTAATATGATATTATCTAACCAGAGTTGTAAAAGCTACAGCGTGACAGGAAATCAAGTCTTGAAACAAATCCAACGGTTTACATAGCAACCGGGCGTGGTAAGATCTTATAGTGGCAAACGCTGTCGGCAGAACAACCCCATTGGCCTCGTCCAGAAAACACTATGGTAAAAAATAAGTCACACGCTTAAAGGGGTCGCTGTAAAGGGAAATACTTGAGGGATGTCTACGCAGTGGTGTATACAGTCTCGTGTACATGGCAAAGGCTCTTGTACCGAACATTTGTCATTGAATCATAACACGCTGCGGAAGATAAAGCTGAAGACGCGTTTCCACGTACTAAGAACAATGCGTACACCTATAGGATGTCAGTGGTATCTACACGACACCGGCAGATAATACATATCAGCCACACACTCATAGCAGAATATCACCATACACACTCATATAAACCAAACAATAACCAAACAAACATACAAGCATCATACTCAAAGCAGAACATCACCATACACACTCATATAAACCAAACAATCACCAAACAAACATACAAGCTTCATACTCAAAGCAGAACATCACCATACACACTCATATAAGACCGAACAATAACCAAACAAACATACAAGCATCATACTCAAAGCAGAACATCACCATACACACTCATATAAACCAAACAATCACCAAACAAACATACAAGCA